AAATAAATAATTTTCCTATTACTAGTAGCGCTGCGGTGCGAAACTTAACTAAATCGGTACGGCAGAATGTGACACAACAATGGTAAGGAAGCTCCAGAGTCCCTGAACGTGACACAAAAATGTATTAACATTATGTTTGCACCTCGTTTATGTTTGTACTTTCAACTTTCACCTACGAACTAATATCAATCTTTTTAAAACGAAAAATGTAAATACAGACAGATGTAAAGACATAAAGATAATAATAATTAAACGTAGTTAACCAGATATTTATAAATATCAAACTTTGTTTAATTTATCATTATATTAAACCATATAAATTTATTAATGAAAATTTATTTATATAATATTTATTATTGATTTTATAAATACAAGTTGGACTTACCACTATAATTACTTGTACATGTTGAATACCATGACTTGCAAGAAAGTACGACGAATTTCACAAACCTAGTAACAAAAATGCAGTTTAAATACGTGGTATAAATCGGTTAAAAAAGTGGTATAAATCTCTTGTGATGTGAAAAGATATAAATTTCTTTCTCTCTCTAACCTAAGAACTACTGGATCGAATAACGAAATGTATTGAAACCGTGTAATATTAACAAAGTGCTATATGCACAAAGCATTTACTTACTTCTGATTAAACTGAATGTGTAATTCATTTGCACACTTGTATCATCTTTTAATCACTCAAAACACTGGAATATTTCACCGACTCTCACGACGCGACTCGTACGTTGAAAATTCAAATACGACTATTGGAAGATGGTGGCGCGCGCAGACGAGATATTTGAAACTCAGTAGCGCGAGAATTTGAAAACACAGAAGTGTTCGATTGGTGAAATATCATCGATTATGGTCATTAATTTGTATTAATCTTCGATAGAAAATTTTGTTTATCTACGTGTAAAAGATGAAAAGAAAGATACAAGCACATAATTAATTATTAATAATAATAAGATAATAATTAATTATTATTTCCATTGATTTCACATTCGTGTAAAGTGAAATACTTAAAAAAAATGTTTGCACATGTAATTCGACGGAAAATCGAAGTTTACGATCTGAAATTTTGAAAGAAATTTCAGATTACGTGCAATTAAAATTGGAAATGTTTCTGTATGTAATCTTCAGTAATGACAATTAATATATGTTATTTATGCAAAGACACATTAAACATGTTTATGTATGTACATCAACTCGTAATAAATCGCTCATTGTTCTTTCAACAGCTATAACAGATAGAAATAGATGACAGAGCTTTGTCACTCGACGCAGGACAAAGTAGAGATACATAGCGTCTCAAGTAATATTTCCCGTTCCATTTAAACACGGCTCGGTTAGAAACGACGCTCGTTTCCTTCTTGATTGTCTGGCAGAGGTTTTAAAATGCTTGGCATAACTCAGACAGAGCTGCAAGTGTTGTTGGCGTTAATATTTCCGTCAATCATACATCCGACGTGACGTTGGCAATCTTAGAGAGTTACTACGTATAGTATAGTATATCACAGTTAGAAAGGTATTCTGCACTAACTAAGAAGGAAATTTAGTCTCACTGTATATACATGCATGGGAATTTTGATTCAGATCGTTGAAAGATTATTTAAAAAATTAGATGTATATTATAGAGTTGCTCAGTTTTTCTTCGTAGAATATATTTCAGGAAATTTCACTATTCTATTCATATACATGTTATAAACCTGCGCATAAGGTTTCATTCTCTTTTCACAGGATAAATGTAGTCCACGTAGTAGCACTAGTTTTTACGCCTACTAGCACTGTAATCTAGTCAAGGTGTTCCATGTCATCAATGAGTCATTATCTATATATATACACTCGATATTCTATTGCGAATGATAAAATATGCATCTAGGGTGAGAATTGTCGATACCGAGTATCAACGACGTTACAAGAATAAAATGTTGACCAGAATAGAATAAAATGTCGAAAGTAAAAAATCCTGGAAATTAACTACATGGAATTTGAATTATAACAGCTGGTAATAACGTGTAAGCGTGTCCACAAAAATATACGATAATGAACGGCCTGTGGTTGCGTTACAATTAACACGGTACTAGCTAACGTCTTCCGGAAAGTTGCAGATTGCACGTCCTTAGGTATCTCGGTTCAGATCCCTCCATTCCTGATATCTAGTCCGTAGTGTAATTAACCTGATTAACGAAGAGTTTCGTAATGAGCAAGGTATTTTTCACACAACACGTGGCATTAACCCTGGTTTCAAATTCTAAGTGATAAAAAGCAGAGCAAAAAGTCGAAGGGAACGTTCTGACAACGCCTGTTTGCACATTTATCATTGCTTGAATTTCCATAACTTATGCTACAAATGTTAACAAACAGAGTTTCGTAATGAGCAAGGTATTTTTCACATAACACGTGGCATTAACCCTGGTTTCAAATTCTAAGTGATAAAAAGCAGAGCAAAAAGTCGAAGGGAACGTTCTGACAACGCCTGTTTGCACATTTATCATTGCTTGAATTTCCATAACTTATGCTACAAATGTTAACAAACAGAGTTTTACACAGAGTTTCTGGACTCGTGTTTCCGTCTCGTACGATTTTTTAGAGAACTAAAGTATGCGGCTCGCGCGAAATTTAAACGCGGTGTTGCTTCACCGTGATCGGAATCGAATCTTCGCATTGCTGAACAATCAGAGAGAAAGAGAGAGAGAGAGAGATCGAAGATTTCATAGGCACTGCAAGAAAGGATTAATATCTGCAGATAAAAGTGAAACTGAACCGTCATTTCCTCCGTGAGCAATTAGACGAAAACAAAGATGGGTATACTCTGAGCGAGTGAAAATGGCGAGAGAGGAAAAACGTCGGCCCGAGGACAAGAGGATGCTGGACAATTAATATCTTTTTAAGCCAACAACAACGTATCGCTCGTTAATTTGCGTACACGCGCGTATGTCAGAATGGCGAATACGAAGTTGAGCAACGCTCGACTGTCTTAAAATTCCGCGTAACAATGACTCGGAACTACAACCGGGGGAAAATACAACGACGAGAGAAAGAGAGAGAGAGAGAGAGAGAGAGAGAGAGTAAGATGCAGATATACAAGCGATAGGTCCGCGACGTGGCATATCAAGGTGGCGCATCAGAAAAGGAAAGAGAAGCCGCTGTACGAAACTTGGAGGAAATTGCATGATGTAATAATTGTCCTGTGGGAGTGTCTTCGAATAGAATTCGAATACCACAATACGAGTGTTGCACACTATGGGAACACTATTGTTACAGATTTTACAGTCTACTACTGTTCTTGCCTGGCCGCCAACTCCCACGTGGCTTTCACTCCGGTGTCCCCGCGGCTCCAAAAAGTTCCTCGCCTTCTATTCTCATCCGTGTCATCGCCGTCTCTTCCTCTTCGTCTCTGCCCGCCACCAAACTTCCGCCCTTTCTCGTCCACGCTTTACGCGCACTTTCATCGTGATCGACACGAACCTACAATCCTTTTCCCCCTTTCTTTCTTTCTTTCTTTCGAGGATTTCTTACTTTCTAAGAAAATTTATATACCATGCTATATATGTATGTTTATATTAGATTTTAAAAGTCTTTCAAAGAATGATGCGATCGAAATATTCGAAATATTGTCGCGGGGGGTTTGCGAATGTCTTTAAAAGGTGAACGATAGGATAGGTTTAAAAGCAGTTACGTATGATGGACGATAATTGCGGCTGAAAATTTATAAGCTATTGTTACAGAGAGACGTTTGCAATTCATTATGCCAGATTTCCTGGCGAGAGATATCGAGCGTTACTTTACGAGAGGGAGAGAACTTGGGAGCCACAGAAGAAAATAGAATTAAACTGTGCAACTAGTTTACTTACGAACTCCGTCTATAAGTTAATCGCACGTAGGCAAGTGAAATGTATTAAAGTAATTTATGAATTATTTTCGAGAAATAGATTTTAAGGTCGTCGAGGCTTTACGTTCTTTCTAATTTTAAACGTAAATCTAAAATTAAATTCACAAATTTCTATTCAGATTAATGACCCGAATGACATTACTAAATTTTTAGCAAAAATTTAGTAATGTTTATGAAGTGAAAAAAGTGAAACTCTTCCTAAATTAATAAAAAAATAATTTATCTTGTATATCCAAAAAAAAATAAAAAATAAAAAGAATGAGTGGAAGGGACACTTTTAACTTCTAAATTAAAGAGAGCTAGCGAGAGAGAGAGAGAGAGAGAGAGAGATGAAAGTTACACAATTTCCAATTCCGGAGGCAAGAATGCTCAATTATCTCGTGTTATTCAATATTACACCTTCCCGTAACCGAACGTTTAGGGGTCATCAAGGTTGAACGTGTCGCTAGAGAGCACTCGACGGTGGAAAGGGTGGTGGTTGCATACTGTGTCACTCTATATATAACGGCAGTCGGCACCCCACGCGATATTAAGAACGTTCACCGCATCTGCGGTAACATGGTTTCCAGTTACAAGGTACTTACTACTCGAAACGCTCACGATTCGTCGATCGATGTGGCAACGTGTCTGTCCGAGCTATCGGCTGACTAATCAGCCGACAATTGCAATTGCAGTAGTTAATTACAAAAGCAACAAAATTTAATTAAATTAAACAGGCGGAACACCGGGATATATTTATCATTCATTGTGCGTTTTTCTTTTTTTTTTTT